AACAATGGAAGGAGGCACTGCTAGCGCTTTAGTTTGGGAGGAAAGAGGAAGGAGGTGCCCTTTACCCATCCAGGAGGAATCAAGCTCATCTGTGCCCAAATCGGCTTATTATGAACAATTAATTCACATTGGTTAATCACCCCAAAGGACCCTAGTGTTTCTCCACCCTATGAAATAGCCCGTAATTTCCTTATTCAACCTTTTCCTCCTGCCTTGAGCCCCTGGCAACCTTTGATTTGCTTAACATCTCTAGTTTTATCTTTTCTAGAATGTCATATAATTGGAATCAAATGATATGTAACTTTTTTAGACTAGCAACTTAAATATTTTTTAGAAATAATGTGTGAAACCACCATACTTATGCCAAATACCAGAATACTGTGTATTTTAATTATCGATTCAATTTATTTTATAGACATAGGAATATTCAAGTTATTTGTTTCTCCTTGTGTATGTTTTGTCAGTTTGTGCCTTTCAAGTAATTGGTCCACTTTACCTAAATTATTGGCTTTGTAGGAATAGGCTTTTTTATGATATTTCTTTATTATCCTTTTAGTGTTCACGAAACCAGTGATGGTGACTCCTCTTTCATTTATGATATCAGTAATTTATGTCTTCTGTTTTTTCTTAATTATCCTAGCTAGAAGTTTATCAATTTTATTGATCTTTTCAAAGAACCAGTTTGGGTTTCATTGTTTTACTTTATTGCGTTCCTGTTTCTATTTTATTAATTTCACCTGTAATTTTTATTATTTCTCTTCTGCCTGCTTTAGGCTTAATTTGATCTTTTTTTCTCTACTTTTCTGAGATGGAAGCTTAGGTTATTAACACGTTTTTCTAATACATGCATTTAATGTTGTAGATTTTCCTCCAGAAATTTTGATAACTCAAATGTTTTTAAATTTCTATTGAGACTTCTTCTATGACTCATATGTTTTTTAAAGGTATATTGTTTGTCTCCAAATATTTTCAGGTATCTTTCTGTTACTAATTTCTAGTTTATTTCCATTCTGATCTGAGAGCATACTTTATATTATTTCTACATTTAAGATTTATTGAGGGTGTTTTTATGGGCCAGAATATGGTCTTTCTTGGTGACTGTTTCGCTAGAGCTTAAGAATAATGTGTATTCATCTATCGTTTCGTATTCTATAAATATCAATTAGATCAAGTTGATTGATAGTGTTGTTGAGGTCAACTCCATCCATATTGATTTTCTGCCTACTTGAACTATCAGTTGTGGACAGGAAATAAAAGAGTTTCAATTAATAGATTTGTTTATTTCACCTTTCGGTTTTAACCATTTTGCCTCTCAATGTTTAGAAAAGTTTTTAAAAAACTGGATTAAAAATATATAAAGCAATTGTTTATAAGCCTAAGATACCAGGCAGTATAGGGCAGTATTTCTTGAGAAGGGGAAAATAAATGAGGTGAGCCCTATAATCATTCCAACTTTCTGCCTAGAGGGAAGTTCCAGGCCATAGCTCAGGAAGGGAGAACTTGGGTGTAATTAAAAATAGAAGGTAGCACTTAATAGTTGTTCAATCAATGGCCCAGGAAAGAAAAGCTGTAAGAATAGAGAAGGTAGAGCCGCTAGACTAGGGTGGGTGCCAAGACTGACTGTGTATAAAATGAGATTTTACTTGGGTTTTGGAGGCCGATATAAGAAAGGTAGAAAGTGAGCACAGGTGGGTATGTTAGAAAGTACTATAAAAAATGGCACAGGTCCAACCTTCTTTTATGAAAAATAAAGGTTCGTGGACATCTGTAAAGACGGATTTGAAAAGTACTTTGGGATTATTTGTGGAAATTCATGAGTCTTAATGTAGTGTTTGATTTTATTCGGTAGGTCAGTGGCTTTTAAAATTTAAAATAAAACCAGTAAACCCTTTTAAAAATAAGTGATTTCTCTAATCCAAATACAAAACACACACATATAAAAACATAGCTTTAGACAAATGGGAGAAATGGGGTGGCCAGAACCCCCAACCGCACCACCTCTGATGCCCCTAAGGACTGCCAAGAGCATAAACAACTCCTGTGCTGTAGACTCAGAAAGGCTTTGAGAGATTTAGAAAGAAAATGACAGGATAAAAAGGGTATGGAATGGAATAATCAACCTGTAGTTAATTGGATTGGAAAGAAGGTTGGAGTAGGCAAGGAGACAGATTAGGAGCTGCTGCTTTGATTGAGACAAGAAGGGGTAGAGGCGTGACCTAGGATGGTGGCACTGAAATAGATAGGAAGCGATTAAAGAAGGAGATCTATGAAGAAATCCTAGTTTGTGGTAATTTTTTGGGTATGAAAGGAAGGAGTGAAAGAGCATTAAGTAGAATGAACTAGACGATTCAGTCCTTTGACCTGATACACTTAGAAACTATGATAATAATAATCTATAATGACATAATTCACCTAGTTCAAATCTCTGTGCTGCCTTTGATGTGATCCTTGGGCTCGATAGTTGTTCTAAACTTTTTTTCTCTGTTAAATGGGGGACTATCACAGTTCCTACCTTATAGAATTTATTGCTGGTGTTTGAAGGGAAAGCGTTAGAACTGATGCATGGAAATTTTCCTGAAGCAAGTTTTATTAGTTCTTATCTTTATTTAATTCTAAACTAATCAGCACTTCTGTTTTCTTCAACATGTTGAATTAAGAAGCTTTTAGTGTATTTCTTTGCCTGGCTTTTTAATACCTCATGAATAATGTGGAATTATTGAGAAACAAAAGAAAGGTGATTATGCAAATGTTTGGAATATTTAACAATCCATTAAAGTAGTCTTAGGAAACTGGAAAAATTACTGAAGTTATACTAGCTTTTTGTAGAGGTGTAGAGTATTAAGAAAAAAAATCATTTTAGAAAAAAATTTTTAAAGTAGAATATTAGAAACAAAGAATTCAAGAAACTGTATTAATTAATGAATATTCAGATAGTATATTAATTTTCCCTGAGGTACAATGGCTAAGCCAAAGAATTTGAAGGATGAGAAATAGAATGATTAAACAAACTCCAAAGTAATTAGGAATTGTCTTTCAAAACGCTTAGTTCGACACATTAAGACAGATTTTTTTATTTTAGGGCCAGGACGTACTTGTTTTAAGCAGCTGATGTAGCTTCAGCCTCTCTTTCCTTGCCAGGACTCAGCCCCTGTAGTGTTTTGCAGCACACCTCCCAGATTCCAGGCAGCGTGGGAAGGGAGTCCTCACCTACAGAGTGCCCTGGGCACTGTCTCTCTCCCTTTCATTCTCATCCTAGTTGCCTGTGTTTATTAGTTTAATATTCCCTTAAATTAGCACTTCCTGATGGATTAGAATCATTCAAATTTACATACATCGAGTGCTACCACGTGGAGGTTCTATACTGAGCCTTGCATGACAAGGGTATTAGAGAAGAATTAACCCAGGGAGATAACATTAAAACTGGTAGCATTTCACATTTATGTTGGGTTTGCTGGATGAGAGATAGTTTGTTTTCTCAATCTCTTATATGAAACCAGTGGATAATCCTTGAATTATTGTAAACTTAAGATTTTAAAAAAAGGTGGTGTAAAGAAATTTGCATTAACGCAAGTGTTGTCTAATCTCAAGTGACACAAATTGAGAGCTTATAATATGTGTACTCCAGTATATCTACTGTATGACATCTGTATTGTGCTGCCGAATTTTGCTTAACTATTTTGGAAAATGACTTTTTTTTTGTATCAAATGACAGTACATCTTGTTTATGTGGCATTATAAGCCAAAATGATATTTGCTACAAATAAATGTCTTGATCATCAAGAGGTTGCCTCTTTTAATATTTGCATGATCTAAGTGAATTGTTTTATCCCTTCTGCTTTGTGAACTGGTAGTAAGGTCTTTTGTTTTTTTCACTGCTCGTTAAAACAAGTGAGACAAAAGGAAGTGAGCTTAAGTAAAATTCATAACAATTTATGTTGCTGCTCTACAAATAATTCTGAAAAATATCTTGGTAGGGAGCAGAGAATGTTTTTAATTTTCTCTTTGGATTTTAACTGTGCTTGCCACTCCTATGTCCCATCCTTCTATATAATTAAGAACTGGCTGTATGTTCCATAGCGACATAGCCTATAGTCATTGGTTCTGATAAACAATTCTCATTTAACCTAGGTTGAAATAGAAGTAGAAGTTGGGTCATTTTTCACTTTTTCTACTTTATTCTAGTTTGATTTTTTTTGAGCTACTATAAAGTATTTGTGCAATATGATCACTGGTAATGACACTGGTACGTCACTGGTAATGTGACAGTTAGTACTTACAAGTAGAAAAGGATTCCTACTTGAAGGTCTTGGGTCAGTTCTTAAGGTGATGAAGTGTAGCTTAGCAGCTCCGAAGACCTAGCAAGCACCTCTGGGGTCCAGAGGCTGCCAGAAACATTTCAGATGTCATTCCTTTTTTAGTGTCTTTCATTAAGAGGTCTACTTGAATGATAAGGATGTTTACTAAATGCTTTCAAAAATTGTTTTCTTAGTTTATTATTTAAAGAATATTCACAGCAGAAGCAGTGTTCAATGCTAAGCTATATTTCAAGAATAACTATTATAATTCTGTTCTTTTTATAGCATCTTTTATACACACACAAACATACACACACAGACACACACAGATACACACAGACACACAGACACACAGACACACACACACACACACACACACACAGACACCCCTTCAGAGCCAACTTGTACTGGTTCACAAAAGCCTATTCAATTTTCAGGATTTTTGTAAGCTGCTTAATGTCAGACAAGTAGCTTAAAATGTGCCGTGGTAGGAGTGTTTACACCATGGAAATTGGTGACTGCTACAAATCAAAGCCTTTTTAAAAAACAAATGTCTTGGACAGCTGGTTGTCAGACACTCACCAGTGCACCTGTGCCCTAAAGTATTTCTTTAAATAGAATAAAGGGTTATTAGCATTGAAGATAGTTTTAGTATAGAAGTGTACCTGAGAAGAAGAATAAACTTTTTTTTCCCTCTTTTCTCAGGGATACGGAAAGACCGAAGAGGAGGGAGAATATTGAAACCCAAGCGCCAAAGAGATGATGGGGAGAATAGAAATGAAGCGGGGTCCTCTGGAGACATGAGAGCTGCCAGCATGTGGTCAAACCCTCTCTTGATTAAGCACCCTAAGAAGAGCAGCCCTGCCTTATCCCTGACAGCAGATCAGATGGTCAGTGCCTTGTTGGAGGCTGAGCCCCCCCTAATCTATTCTGAGTATGATCCTACCAGACCCTTCAGTGAGGCTTCGATGATGGGCTTGCTAACCAACCTCGCAGACAGGGAGCTGGTTCACATGATCAACTGGGCAAAGAGGGTACCAGGTAAGAGCACTAAGCTCAACTTTTATTTTTAAGAGTCAGTAACTACTCATGAACTGGTTGTGAAATCATAGGAAAAACAGTGGGAAACAGTAGCTTGTTATCTAATTGGTTTCGAAGTTATATCAGAATTTGTTAATTTTTAGTATGGTACACTGTAATCTCCTGGAAATTAAGAAATAATGTTTTAAAATCTTAATCTAGAAGATTAAAGTCTTTAACCTGACATTATTAACCATCTTATTTAGCCAACAATCCGAGGTAAACACCACATAATAAATGCAGCTAATATATGTTCACATTGTTTAAAATTTTTAAAATTAAATGATCCTCGATCTGCATATTTTTAATATTGAGGAATTTGTTCAAAATATCTCAATGATTAATGAACGATTTTAGATTAAAGGTCTTTTAAAATCTTTGTGGACTAAAGAGATGATAGTAGGTTTCTTTACTGAATACCTATTATTTACTCAACTGTCTAGTCTTGATATTTCAGGGGAAAGGTAATACAATAGAAAAATTAATTGGATTTTCATTCTAATCCTAAAGGGAGCTCGTAGGAAGATACAGTGGCAGAAGTGACACTTGGTCCTTCAGTTGAGTCTCTCAGAACTAGTGTTCTTGTAAAACTTGACAGTTGTTCTTATTGTTTAGAGAGAACTCTTATTATGGAAACAAGACTAGAAAATGACCTCCTTCATAACCATTCAGGAGCTAATGTAGATGAATCAAGGCAAGAGGAAGTTAAGTCTTTTTCCTGAGCTTATAGATCAAATGAATAATGGATTTAGACAGATTGTCTCATTTGGTTTCTTTTAGTAGATAAAAATCAATCTTTACCTCTGATGGATGGGATGCTTTCTATTAAACTAAATGAATGTAGAGTGTTGTACTTGCAGTTCAGAGTTCACTGATCTGTTATAGGCCAAGTGAACATATCTATGGCCTTAGAGAGTGTTTTATATATTTGCGTACATTAACATATAAACATGTGGTCTTTTGATTAAGGAGCCAGTGATGTTGTCATCCAGACTTGGTAAAGAGCATCCATGTAGGTGGTGGAGACTGGGTTATATGGAAGCATGGGGATTAGCAGGCATATTTAGGTTGACAGGGTCAGTCCTAATGACAAATAAAAACTGCCAGCCATCTTTGGAATTAAGAGTTTTATTGAGCACCTACCTCCCTACCTTAGCATTCTTATGTGAAGCAGATCCATGATAAGCAAATACTGGAATCTAAATATAATGTGGTTATAGATTTAATTTTTATATTTGTTATTGCCTCTTTTATTACTTTGAGAGAAGAGAAAAATTAAAAAATAATAATAATGGACATATCCCTGGGAGCCAACTTTTGGTTGCTATTAAGTTTTATTGTGTTATAAGCATATATTTTCCCTGAAATATGTGAAGTCTTAGTAATATTAGTTTCAGAGCATTGCTGGACTCAAGTATATATTTTTCATACTTATCAGTTGATTCCCATCATGACATTTTAATTATAAAAATTTGAAGGGCGTTTGGAACAACCAGAATTAAATTCAGATCCATTATCAGTGGATGAAGAATTCATGGCAATAATCTTCTGAATCTAAGAATAAAATAGAGAAATAAAGGGAAGGAAAATTTATGTTTATGCTTAGCCATCCCATTGTTAAACCTACAACTAAATGTTTTTATAATAATGTGATATGTAGCAAAATTATAGAGTGCTATAATTTGATTATGTTAGTTTAAAAAAACTGAATAATTTCAAATTCCTTGGGCCAAACTATATCTTGTTTTTGATGGTTTAAAAAATTATAAAAGCTAAAAAGAAATTGTGTGTGAGTGTGTGTGTGTGTGTGTGTGTGTACTATTAGAATACAGTGCAAATCAAAACCCTATTTGTCTGACCAAGCAGAATAAAAATAGTCATTGATTTAAAAAAGATGAAAAATGAGGGCAGAAAAAAATCTTCTGCAAAAACTTTGAAATGATTGTCAAGCTCTTCAGAAAAATTGAAAAAGTCACATTTTGAAAAGTTTTTATATATCCAGATACCATCTGTCATTTACAAAATAGTCCACAATGACAATCAAATATAGACATTTATGTGGTAATAGTTTGAGAATAATAATAGTAATTTTAAAAAGAGGGAATATAAAACATCATTAATGAAAAGAGTAGCAAGAAAATCAATTCTAGAAGAATCTGAAATTGCGAAATGATACAGAACCAACATGGGACATTTGGATAATCTTCAGAATGGCTATTAATATAACAGAAATTATGAATTAACTTCGTTTTTTTAAATTGAGGTATAAGTGATATAATTGTAAGATATTTAAAGTGTACATCATGGTGATTCGATATAAATAAACACAAAAAGGATTTCCCCATCTAGTTAATTAACACATTTGTCACCTCACATGTTTCTTTTTCTGTGTGTGTGAGAACAGTTAAGTTCTACCCTCTTAGCTAATTTTAATTATACAATACAGTATTATCAACTACAGTCACCATGTTTTGCATTAGATCCTCAGCTGTTTTCATCTCATAACTGAAAGTTTGTATTCTTTTACCACCCTCTCTCTATTGGCCCATCCCTGAATCCCTGGCAACCACTTTTCTACTCTTTGCTTCTATGAGTTGGACTTTTAAAAAAATTTCACATGTAAGTGATACCATGCAATATTTTTCTTTCTCTGTTTGTCTTATTTCACTTTGCATAATGCCTTCAAACTTTTCCATGTTGTTGCAAATGGCAGGACATCTTTATTATGGCTGAATAATATTCCATTGTATGTATATGTACCACATTTTCCTTATCCATTTATTCATTGATGAACACTAAGCTTGCTTTCATATTTTGGATATTGTGAGTAATGAAATGAACATGGGAGTACAGATATCTCTTCAATACCCTGTTTTCATTTCCTTTGCATGTATATCCAGAAGTGGGATTTCTGGATCATATGGTAGTTCAAGTTTTAATATCTGAGGAATCTCTATACCGTTTTCCATAGTGGCTACATCAGTTTACATTCCTACAACCACTGTACTTTTCTCTACATCCTCACCAATACTATTTCTTGTCTTTTTATTAATAGCCATTCTAATAGGTGTAAAGTGATATCTCACTGTGTTTTTAATCTGTATTTAATCTGTATGATTAGTGATGTTGAGCCCCTTTTCATGTACCTGTTGACCATCTGTATATCTTCTTTGGAAAAATATCTATTCAGTGTCTTTGACTATTTTTTAATCAGATTTTTTTTTTTTTTGCTATTGAGCTATATGAGGTCTTTATATTTTTATACTAATCCCTTATCAAATATGTGATTTCAAAATATTTCCTCCCATTCTGTAGGCTGCCTTACATTTAGTTGATAGTTTCCTTTGCTGTGCAGAAGCTTTTTTAGTGTGATGTAGTCCCTCTTGTTTATTTTTGCTTTTGTTGCTTTTGCTATTGGTGTCAAATGCAAACAATTATTGCCAAGACCAATGTCAAGGAGCTTAACTGCTATGTTTTCTTCTAGGCATTTTATGGTTTCGGGTCTTACATTCAAGTCAATCCATTTTGAGCTGATTTTAGTGTACGATGCAAGATAGGGATCCAGTTTTATTCTTTTGTTTGTGGTTGTCTACTCTCCCCAACATTATTTATTGAAGAGACTATCCTTTCCTTTTTGCATATTCTTGGCTCCTTTGTCATAAGTTAATTGCATGGATTTATTTCTGGGTTCTCTATTCTGTTCCATTGACCTGTATATGTGTGCTTTTATTTCAATACCGTATGGTTTTAATTACTTTAAGTTTGTAATATAGTTTGAAATCAGGAAGTCTGATGCATCTAGCTTTATGCTTCTTAAGATTTCTTTGGCTATCTGGTGTCTTTTTGTGGTTCCATAAAAATTTTTGGTATCAGGGTAATGCTGACTTCATAAAATGGCTTCAGGAGTGTTTATTCCTCTTTTGTATTCTGGAAGAGTTTGAGGATTCACATTAATTTTTCTTTGAGTGTTTGGTAGAATTTGCCAGTGAAGCCATCTGATCTTGGACTTTTCTGGGAGGTTTTTGAATACTGATTTAATGTTTTTACTAGTAATTGGTCTGTTCAGAATTTTTATTGCTTATTGATTCAGTCTTAGTTTGTATGTTTCTAGAAATTTTTTCATATCTTCTAGATTGTACGGTTCTTTGGCTTATCATTGTTCATAGTAATTCCTTATAATCTTTTTTTGTATTTGTGTGGCATCAGTAGTAATATCTACGATAAAAAAAATAAATTTATAATTTTATTTATTTCTGTCTTCAATCTTTTTTCATTTATTTCCACTCTGTTCTTTGTTATTTTCTTCCTTCTACTAACTTTGGCTTCATAGTTCTTTAGAGTATAAAGTTAGGTTATTTATTTGAGCTCTTCTTTTTTTTATTGATGTAGGTGTTTATATCACTATAAATTTCCCTCTTGTAATTCTTTTGCTGCATCTCATAAATTTTGAGATGATGTTGTTTCCATTTTTCATTTGTCTCAAGATATTTTTTTCACTCCTCTTTTGATTGTTTTTGACCCATTGGTTGTTCAGAAACATGTTTAATCCCCACACATTTGTAAAATTTTCAGCTCTTATAATTGATTTCTAGTTTCATACCCTTTTGGTAGGAAAAGATGCTTGATATGATCTTAATATTCTTAAAATTTTAAAACTTATTTTGTGGTCTAACATATGATGGACAGTGTTCTCTGTGTGATTAAGAAGACTGGACATTCTGCTACTGTTGGATGGAATGTTATGTATATGTCTGTTAAGTCCATCTGCTCAAAGGTGTAGTTTGTGTCCAATGTTTCTTCATTGATTTTCTGCCTGGATGATCTACCTATTGTTGGAAATGTGATACTAAAGTCCCTGATATTGTATTGCTCTCTGTTTTTCCTTTCAGATCTGTTAATATTTGTTTTATATATTTATGTGCTCCTATGTTGAGTGCATATTTACAATTGTTATAGTCACT